AAAATTCCCATGCTCCGTCCCGTTCACATACAAAGCACTTCATACAAAGAGCCTGATTTTGCCCTCTGGCTCTTCACTTGCTATTCCATCTTCACAATTGCTTTAGTGATGAATTTTCCACTGCCTGTCTTGTGACTGCATACTCAGTGACACACATATACAGTGAGCTTTCTCTCCCTTTCTTAAGTCAGATCTACAACAGCCACTGGAGCATCTGTTGGAGATGGAAATTACCCATAAGTGTGATATGGAAGAAACAACACATAATGTATACGCATCTTTTCATATAAGTTGTCTGATTCAATGTCACTTTGCCTGCTGGAGTTTTGCCTTTCAGTTTCCCATTATTTCAGGAAATCAAAATGTTTTCTTTATTTGTTTTGTATTTGCCTTTTTATAATTAGCTCATGTACTTCTCTTGATGTTTGTTTGGAGGGAAGGGAGAAGCCAGGCATTAACATTCAGAACTTAACCCTGCCTGCTTGAGTTTGGAACTTGAAGCTATCTCTTTCACATCGTAGGTCCATAAACTGACTAGAAGACTTTATTATTTATTTATTATTTATTTACTATCTACCTACCATCTATTTATTTATCTATTATTTATTTCCTCTTTTTAGCCTTTATTATTTATTTATTTTCAAAAAAATAGAAAAGTTTTGGTATAGATCTCATGATCTTTGCTACTACAATTACTCCATTTATATAAATTGACCTGAAAATAGATCATGAGAGAGAGAGAGAAAGAAAGAGAGTGAATACATTCATAGTCTAGTAGGTGGGTGGGTACCTCAGCCACGGACCATTCTGATTCAGAGATGTGTTATGCCAGTGTATCCCATATCCTATTGAAATGTCTTGTCACTGGGTTACATATTCTTGGTATCTCAGTGTTTTGTTTTGTTTTGTTTTGTTTTTATTTTTTATTTTTTTGCAGATGAAAGGAAAGGGATACTTCAAAATTTATTGAGCTTTCCCTGATGTTGATGGCAATACTTTGTAAATTCTGAAGATATTTCTTTCACCAATCTCTATGCACAATATATGGGAATGCTTTTAAAGGTGCATTTCTTAAAGTTACTGTTTATATATGAACTTTGAAAATGATGCTGTTGAAAGGACCTGTGCTGTGCCTGTGTTTTGCTTGCCAGTTCAAACTGTTCCTTTGTGGAACTATTAAGCTTGAAGTGGGAACTGAAATTTTGTACACTGAGAACTGACATATGGCACAGAATTTGCCTTTTATTTGGAAAGCTTTCAGCAAGGAACCTCCCCCACTGTGCTAAGCTTCTTCCAGTGAATGAAGTAAGCAGACATGAAGAGGCATTCCTAAATAAGCTACATTCCAACTAGGTCTCTGTGTGGCTTGGGAAAATAAGCTCTAGACTTATAGCAACAGCTACACCAATAAGGATGGTTAACCTATTCCTATCTTCATTCTGTTAAACCACTAAGAAACTCACTCCCTGTAGAGCTAAAGTCCAGTAACCTGACAGAATTCACTTAATGGAAAATAATATGATATACATTCAGAATGCAAAATAGATTTTGTTAAGTTTTCATATTTGTAAAACCATGATATTCTAAGGCTTTTTTTTTTTTTTTTTTTTTTTTTTTTTTTTTTTTTTTTTGGTCTGTTGTACATTATAAGAATTCAATAATGTATAATATTATAAGATCATAGGAATCATAGGATATCCTGAGTTGGAAGGGACCCACAAGGATCATCAAGTCCGGCTCCTGGCTCCACACAGGTCTACCCAAAAATTCAGACCATATGACTACATGCACAGTCCAAACACTTCTTAAACCCTGACAGTCTTGGTACAGTGACTACTTCCCTGGGGAGCCTGTTCCAGTGTGCAACTAGCCTCTCAGTGAAGAAACTCTTCTTGATGTCCAGTCTGCACCTCCCTTGCTGCAACTTGACACCATTCCCGCAGGTCCCATCACTGGTCACTATAGACAATAGATCAGTTCCTGCCCCTCCACTCCCCCTATTGAGCTGTAGACTGTGATGAGGTCTCCGCTCAGCCTCCTCTTTTCCAGGCTCAACAGGCCAAGCTGCTCCTCATATGTCTTCCTCTCTAAGCCCTTCACCATCCTTGGATCCCTTCTCTGGACACTCTCCAACAGTTTCACGTCCTGTTTGTACCGTGGTGCCCAGAACTACACACAGTACTTGAGGTGAGGCCACACCAGTGCAGAGTAGAGCGGGACAATCACCTCCCTCAGCCGACTAGTGATGCCATGCTTGATGCATCCCAGGATACAGTTGGCCTTCATGGCTGCCAGGGCACACTGCTGGCTCATATTCAACTTGCTGTCAACCAAAACCCCCAGATCCCCTCTCTGCAGAGCTGCTCTATAGCATCTCACTACCCAGTCTGTACTTATAGCCAGGGTTGCTGCATTCCAGGTGCAGGACCCAGCACTTGCTCTGGTTAAACTTCATGTGGTTGGTGATCATCCAGCTCTCCAATCTGTCCAGATCTCTCTGCAAGGCCTTTCCACCTTCAACAGAGTCAACAACTCCTCTCAGTTTACTATCATCAACAAATTTGCTCAAAACACCTTCTAGTCCTACATCCAAATCATTCATAAAAACATTGAAGAGGACTGGCCCTAAAATGGAGCCCTAGGGGACTCCTCTAGTCACCATCCACCAGCCTGATGCAGCTGCATTTACCATAACCCTTTGAGCCCTGCCCATCAGCCAAATATTTACCCATCCTATGATGCTTTTGTCTATCTGTATGCAGGACATTTTGTACAGCAAAATCCTATGGCCAACTATGTGAAAAGCTTTACTGAAATCCAAAAAGGTTACACCATCTGGTTTCCCTTGATCAAATAGATGGGTGATGTTATAATATATAAGATATTATAATATATATCAATATGTTGGCATTTACTATGCCATTTATTATAGCTTTATAGCTTTGATATTTTGGGAGGTGATAAGGATATAGGTGGTTCTATTAGGCCAAAAGCTGAATGCATGGGAATTCTCATTGCCAGTTTATATTACCAAAACAAAACAAAACAAAACCAACCAAACAAACAAAAATCTGAAAATTTATTGAAAACAAAACAAAACAAAACAGTCCTTTGCATTTGTCATTGCCTTAGAAAATTTATAAATGGCATTCACTTTGAACTATTGTATTTCCTAAGAGCTAAGATGCAGCTTCCTGGAAGACAATCTTCAGCATCCTGCACTGAACACCCTGCAAATAAATACAACTTTCCTTCCACTACACTGAAATGTACACCAAACATTGATTGATTGGTTCATAAACCAGTTTCCCAAGTTAATGAATAGAACACCTATAAAATCCGGCATGTTTTCACATTTATCCTTCATAGAAAATCATGTATGTAAAATGTTTCTTGGATTCTGGCAAAATAAATGTCATCTAATGAAAATTTCTACCTTAATATCGGTTGCATCTAAAACTTCCATTTTATTCTTCAGCATATTAGAAAACCCTCAAATAATTTTATAACCTTCAGAAGTGTTAGACAAAAATCAATCCTTTGAATTTTAGAATTAAAATACATACTTGCAGCTCATTGCTGAATAAATGAAAAAAAAAAAAGGTATTATTTGTTCCTTACGATATATCTTTAAACAGTGTGAACACCCTAAGCAGCTTGTTCATGGCATTTTTTTAATGGGGAAACATATGAAATGCATTTTATTGTTAAGTTAAAAAAAAAACAAACTAACTAAAAAATAATAGAAAGGAATTTTGCATTAAGGGAAGTAGTACTTCTTACCCCCCCCCCAAAAAAAAAAAAAAAAAAAAAGGAAATCTGACAGTGTAACTGAAGAAAACTATTCTATAGATTTAAAACCTGGAAACCAAAAAGCACATTGATGCCTTCATTATTGATGTTGAAGTGGAACCATGTGATTCTTACTTCACTTCACCTAATACAGTGATTTGGATTCTAGTTGTATTTCCATAGATTTTCTTTTCTCTGTTTTGTTTCAATTTTTATAGCAATTGTTGACAGTTTTCATTTTTCTACAAATACCATTCTGGATACTTTACATCATCTTCCTGACACTAAGATTTCATATTCAGCGCTTTGGTGTGATGGATATGTTTAAGTACATTTTATTTACAGAGATTTTTTTCTAACCTTTTCTTGTTAAGGAACACCATGCTGCTTTTCTGTATACGTACTGCACATACTTAACTGCTGCATACTTTTTCTTGATTAAACATAGCTGATTTTTCTACAGGTATATTGTTTAAAATGTGCATATGCCATGTTAGCATTTCAGAAGCATATACTGCTTTTGAAAGCTATATATAATATCTGATATACTTTTCTGTCTAAAGCATATGTCTATATAATGATGCAAAATTAGACATACATAGGTAAAGTAACCATCTAGATGGTTACTTTACTATATAAGATTATTAATATGTGACTATTAATATATTCAATTATATTAAGACTATAATATTCATTTATATTAAGACTATAAATATGTGTTTCAGAAACAGATGATTTCAAAATACAATGATGTCAGTGGTTTTCCTGTCAGTTCTTCCACATGTCTCTCATGGTTAAGGACTCCCTGACATGTAACCACATGTAACCATTTGGCTGTTTTTTTGCTTTTTTTTTTTTGTTTTGGTTGCACCATATATAATCAATTCCAAGCAACAAAATAGGAAATTTTTGAAAGTAGAAAACAGTCCTAAGTTCTATGAACTTACTACAGTTCTTCTATTTATGAGGATACATATTACAATTGTTAACAATTCGTGTCCATAAAGAACAGCCCTGTCTGCCTCTGGGCCCTGCACTGGCAATTTAATTCTTGAACCACAGATGCAGTGTGTCCCAGTCTCCCCCTCATTCTAGTCAATTTATCAAGTCTTCAGAAAATACTCCCCAAATTTATGAACCTGTTTGCCTTTGTTATTCCGGACTTCTATTTCTAACAGTTACAGCCTTTTTTTTTTGTCTTCTTCAAGATTAATTTAACACTGCTATAGGTGTGACTGTCCCCGTGAATGGCTGGTGAAGAATGTTTTAATTACTGGTGAAGTGTCAATAACAAAGCTATTTGTGTTTGTATGAAGTCTTTGATGTCTGGGGTTTTCAGAACAACCGATAACAACTAGTGACTGTTATGGGATACTATGCAGGCCTCTGATATCTGGCCAGGTGGCCAAGAGATTAAGAAGAAGAAAAAAAAGAAGCTGAAGGACGGTTAGGATACAAGACCTGCAGGGGATGCTGTATACACTTGACACAGTGCCAAGGAGTACAAAGGGGAAGGACGAGAAAAAACTTGGAGGAAGACTACGAGCCTTCAGCATGAAAGACCCCTAGAGACCCTCAGAGGGACCACCGGAGACTGATGTGCATGCTCCAGTAGGAGGGACTGGGCCCCGGAAGCTAATTATAATAACCTATTTTTTTTTTTTTTAGAAGTAGTAATGAATATGTATTAGTCTAGGAGCATAAAAATCAGCTACTTGACGTAACTGGTGTGCGTCCTGGTGGAGCGGAGACTCCCGGTGCACCCAGCACAGTTTGCTTACCTCTATTCTTTTAATAAATCCTATTTTTTTTATTTAATCCTATTTTGAAGAACGAGTCATTTCTAACACAATGACATATGCACAATTCAAGGGGGCATACTGAGAACAAAGGCTCCAAGCTTCTGGGCCTTATCTAACCATAAACTTGGAAATAAATAAATAAAAATAAACATACAAGATCACCAAAACAGTCCTGTTTCTTACTCTCTTTATCTCTAAAATGGATGATTTTTTCTGCAGGAGGAACACTTCAAAGATCATAGAATCATAGAATCATAGAATATCCTGAGTTGGAAGGGACCCTTAAGGATCATCAAGTCCAACTCTTGACACCGCACAGGTCTACCCAAGTTCAGACCATGTGACTAAGCGCACAGTCCAATCTCTTCTTAAATTCAGACAGGCTCGGTGCAGTGACCACTTCCCTGGGGAGCCTGTTCCAGTGTGCAACCACTCTCTCTGTGAAGAACCCCCTCCTGATGTCAAGCCTAAACTTCCCCTGCCTCAGCTTAACCCCGTTCCCGCAGGTCCTGTCGCTGGTGTTAATGGAGAAAAGGTCTCCTGCCTCTTGACACCCCCTTACGAGGAAGTTGTAGACTGCGATGAGGTCTCCCCTCAGCCTCCTCTTCTCCAGGCTGAACAGGCCCAGTGCCCTCAGCCGTTCCTCGTACGTCTTCCCCTCCAGGCCTTTCACCATCTTCGTAGCCCTCCTCTGGACACTCTCCAACAGTTTCATGTCCTTTTTATACTGTGGTGCCCAGAACTGCACACAGTACTCGAGGTGAGGCCGCACCAGCGCAGAGTAGAGCGGGACAATCACCTCCCTCGACCTGCTAGCGATGCCGTGCTTGATGCACCCCAGGACACGGTTGGCCCTCCTGGCTGCCAGGGCACACTGCCGGCTCATATTCAACTTGCTGTCTACCACGACCCCCAGATCTTTAGGGCTCTTCAAAATGCCAAAATGTTCTGATTCCTGAAAGTTTCTTTTTAAAGAGAAAAACTATTTTTTTCTTTAAGAATGTATTTCTCTACAGTGCCCTAATTGTCTCCGTATGGTAAAAGCCTGTGCAAGAATCAGTGAAGACAATGGCATAAATCAAGGGTAATGTTAAGGAACCTTACAAATGATTTCAAAATTGTTAACAAATGTGATCTTCTGCTGTGGGATGTTTTCTGTGGTGTGTTTCCACTTAGCAGTCAGAATGTTTACTGCACTCAACCATATGGAGTTCTGTAGATGTGTGTTTCCTGAGAAGCTTGACACTGAGAGGAGAACTTTCTCTAGATCAGAGAAACTTGTACTAGCAAATACTCTGCTTCACTTAATTGCATCATGCTGCACTACAGAAGTGCATAGGAATATATTGACATTATTATACAAGAGCAACTGTCCCTAACTGTGGTGTTTTAACACCAGTAGATAGCTAAGCATGATCATTCTACTGTCTCGCACTCCTTCAAAATGATGGGGAGAAAATGTGGAAAAAGCTTGTGGGTTGAGGTAAGGACGGGGAGATCACTTACCAGTTATGGTTGCAGGCAAAACAAATTCAGCACAGGAAAGGTTAATGTTATTTATTGCCAGTTAATAACAGCCCACAAGAATGAGAAATTAAAAGCAAACTAAAAACGCCTTTCCCCCCATCTACAGTATACTACCTCCACCACCCAAGCAGCGCAGAGGAATGGGGAATGGGGGATACAATCAGTCTATAGCACTTCACCTCTGCCACTCCCTCATGGTCCCTCCCTGCCCCTGCTCCCCGTGGGGTCTCTCCCATGGATGCCGTCCTTCCCCAACTGAGCCTGCGGGGGCTGCCCACGGGCAGCAGCTCTTCAAGCACTGCTCCCACACGGCTCCGTCCCACGGGGTCCATCCATCCATCCCCCAGGAGCAAACTGCTCCAGCACGGGCTCCCCACGGGTGGGCGGCAGCTCCCCCCAGACCCCCTGCTCCTGCGGGGGCTCCTCTCCACGGGCTGCAGCTCCGGCCCGGGGCCTGCTCCTGCGGGGGCTCTCCATGGGCCGCAGCCTCCTCCAGGCCACATCCACCTGCTCCACCGGGGGCTCCTCCACGGGCTGCAGGGTATGAGAAACACTCTGTAGCTAATAACTTAGGCTCAGGCAATGATCTTGGTGAAGTAGCAATTTTATTCATGATTGCAATGGCAGGCATCCCACAAACAGGAGCACACCTACCAGTCACAGAGTACAATTTATATACTTTATTCCTTGACGACCTGGACCCTCTCTTGTTTCCCCATTGACTGGGTAATCCAGGTTCACAACCTATCTGATGCTTCAGAGACAATACATGGCCTTCAGTTGCTGGCCTGTTAATTTTCAAATTTCTTTTGACTTTTTTATTGTTTGAAGTGGTAATGTTTCTTCACTTATCTGACTTGACTTGACATCATGATTTTTGCCTAATTGCTCTAAGGAGTCTGGTTGTCTGCATTTTACAAGTTTGTCTGGTAAGCTTGCTTTTCACTGCAAGCATATTTCAATACCACATTCCTTACATTTAAACAATGTAACTCTGTGCAAAAACAACTTTTTTATTCCTACAAGGGGAACTGCTGCTGAGCGCCTGGAGCACCTCCAGCCCTTCTTCTGCGCTGACCTGGGTGTCCAGGGGCTGTTCATCTTCCATTTTCTCCCTCCTCTCTCCCAGCTGCTGTTGCACAGCAGTTTTTTCCCGTCTTAAATTCACTCAGAGGCCTAACAAACATCACTGCCTGGCTTGTCTCTGCAGAGTGGTGGGTCTCTTTTGAAGCTCCCAAGTCTTAATGGTGCAGCTTCTGGGTGCTGCTAACAGAGGCCAACACATGCAGCTTCCTGCAAAACCTTGCCTATTAAGCCCAATTCATTAACTTATTCAAAGTTGGGAACCTTGCACCACACTATTTAAATTTTATTCCCTTAACCAGTGTTCTTCAAGGTTTTTAGTCTATAGATCATTTAGACTTTTAAAAATGCACTCACACAACTGCACACCTCTACTTTTAAAGCAGCTGGCAAAAGAGCTGTGTCATGTAGGTAAGTAAAAAGTTTCTAGTATATATATAAAATCTCTATATTATAAAACAACAACAACAAAGCCAATAACTACTTGTAGAGTAGCAATAAAAAAAAAAAAAGTGACACATTATGCCAGAAGATACTCAAGGCAGTCACAAATTGACTCAGTTGACTCAGTTGTCACAAATTCCCTCAGGCACTTGATATTTCTCTGAATGCAATATTTTTATGGATTATCTTCTACTGCCTTGTGAATAACTTGTGACTTAACGGTTGTTGGGCTAAATGACACTGCAGATGTTCTAATGAGTTCCCCAAAAGAGAATGAAAAGACAGTTAGCATCTGGTTTTAGGCTGGACTAGGAATACATCTTTAAACCTTTAAATCTTTTAGGTCTAGGTCAAAGAAGGTAACTACAAACTCCACATAGATGTTTAGAGAGGTCCATACTAGCCTTCTAATGTGATCTATGAAGTGTCCGGTTGATTGCAATTAAAGCTATGCCCCTGTAAATTTCAGAAGATGTTGGTTTATACTTCTATTGAGGACTAGTGACTTCAGGCAAAGTCTTAAGGGTGCAGGCTATAAGTTATATTGGTTTGTAGGAAACAAAGAGTTCATTTTTTTTGGATCCTCAGAGCCTTTAGAGGCAAGCCAGATCTACCGTGACATGAAATGCACATCTATCATGCTAGCAGAGGGAGCACAAGCCTGAAATCTCTAAAGAAAAAGGGAACCTTCAGAAACATTTTGTGTGTCAAATGAGTATGTGAATTCCTTCTGTAAATACAAAAGCTGCCAGTTAACTTAAAAACAGAAATAAAAGTCATTTTTAATTGTTCCTTTATTGTTGAAGAAGGAGAGGATCCAAAGGTGTTCTCGTTTTGGGAACAGAGTACTTCATTTATTTTAATTTCAATATTTTATTTATTTATTTATTTGTTTTAATGGTAACACACACAATTGGCTGATCTTTTTAGCCCCTCTCCATCTTTTGCCATGGAGGACTGTGAAGAAGAATACTTCTAAATGAAATAGATCCTTGAAACAAGAGTTGTAGTACTTGGAAAAACAATTATCAATACTCACATGTTTTTTGAGGAGGAAGCAACACAGAAGTGCATGGTGATCTAAAATAATTATTACATGACTGTCTATATTTGAACTGCAAATAGAGGAGGGAATCAAATTTTGCAAAACTACTGCTCTTCCTTTCTGTCACCTTATATCTCTGGAAAATTATAGAGAACTCCAGGTCTCTCTAAAAGGCGAAAAGCTTCTAAATTTACTGCAAAATACGCTTGCCCTAGCAGTTCAAAGACTGCTTTATATTTAAGCTTTTCTGAAACTCTGAAAGTAATGTCCAAGGCTTTAAAGATATATCAAAAATAAAAATAAAGGTACAAAGGAATTATAAAGGAGAGCCAAGTAATCACCCTAGGGGAATTCTGAATATATATAT